CTCTGAAGAAGGCGAAACCGCCGAAACGTCAGCAATTGTGTTCTAATAAATTCTATATTAACAACCTCGTGTCTGCTTATTGATGAAAAACATTGAATTATCGTTGGTCATATTCTTGAAAGCACGATAGAGTGTCGAAGAAGTAGTCATTCTATGGCCTAACAGGGATAGTGACGAAAAAACGATTCCACATCTTCTTCGAAACGTGTTAAACTGGTTAACACTGGATGCAACCAGTCCAACAAATGAAACCGTTTAAATTGTTTCAGTGACAGCCACAAGAACTAAACTGTCAACACTACAAGTACTAATGAAGGTAAGTGTTGCGCATGGGTTAGAGATAAAAGGATAAATAAAGGATAAAACTATCGGTGTTGATCAATTCCTGAACGATGCGCCTTGCATTTGACTTTAGCAAGCATCGTCTGAGATGATTGAATACATATCTTCCTCTACGCGGTGGCCTACCAGCATCGAGCTCGTTCTGCTTTTCGCCAAGACAAGTCCGGTATCAATTTACCGTCCGCGGAAGGATGGAGTGCTTGGTGGGCCTAGGGCGCGGGATCGATCTCATGTATATTGCGAGTTGCTTCTAACCACTGTGGTACACGTGGTCGTAGTTAAAAATACTTTGAAATCTACACGTCTCATTTGTGTCGATCACGTGCTTTGGACTTCCTATTCCTTCCATTGCGCCGGCATCGGCAAACTAGTACCTGACTTGTGTGGAAGGCTAGCTCCACTGGCTCGATGAATCGGTGAGCCACCGGGACTTATTGTACAAGCCTGATATGCATTCAATCACCTCCAAACGATACTTAATGAAGTCGAATGCACGGCGCATTCCTCAGGAGTTGATCAACACCGAGAGCTTTGTCTTTTATTCGAGTAGTAATAACTGTAATTTCTTTGCGAAGAGTGTACATTACATGGTTGTGAGCTACGACTGTCGCAAAGGTGAATTTCACAAATGTAAATAACAGGTCGTATGTTACAAAATATTCTAAAATACGAGGAATTAATGTTGATTAATCATTCAGAGGCTAGAATAAGACCAATTTTTGAAATAATTTTATGCACTGTGCTGACTGATAATGACACTTCCTGCAGGATGGATTGTGCAGGAAACCAACTTATTTTCAACGGACCATCAGTGTCAACAACCGTCCTATTAACATTTCAGCAAACTTCGAGAGTCGATAATAGCAATGAAGGTGAACTTCAACAGTTGCTTCACCATTGCTTCCTACAGAAACCGTATATACTAATCCGTTTTTTGTACCCGAAGGTTCGAAAAACCAAGCGAACAAGCTTGCAAACAAAGTGCGGTTCCACTGGTTTCATTGAGGATACTACAGAATCGCTGTAAATTCTTCGTTCTTTTGAAGTGACTAGTATGCATCGATCTCCTCTAGTGACCAAGCCATTGTCCTTGCATAGAAGGATGCAACTACCCTGTACTAACTTCTCAGTTCCTTGAACGCAGTCTTTAACTCGCCCGGCATGTATGAAGCAACCAGAGGAAAGAAGCACGCCGACGGTGACCATTGAATGATTGTGTCGTGATCAAAACACCACTCTTCATCACCGTAGCGATGCATTATGAGCAATTGTGATTCATGGTAAGATTTATTTCAATGATATCATGACAAAAAAAATTGCATTAAATATCACAGATACTTAGGCCAATTCTGGCTATTCGACATTATACACAGTTAAAGATTAAAAATGTGGAAATAAAACTGTTTAGTTGTTAACGTTATCTCCAGTGATAAAACACTAGTATACCTTTCTCAAATCGTTAATCTTTTAAGCAAAGACATAGACCGGAAGTACACTGTAGACCGAAGCAGTCCTTATCCTCCGTTTGTTTAGCACAGTTCTTTACATTGCAGAAATGCAACAGTGCGTCGCTTAAGGACGAGAATCCAGCATTCAAATATCCCTAAACATTTACTCATCAACAATCACCGCAATTCTCCAATCTGGTACGATCCACATAAATAGGAACTCATACCGCAGTGCAGTCACAGGTGGTTGTATTGAGGTTGCATGCACCTTTCAATCCACCGCACATCGTATCGTTTTCGCACCTAAAGAAGTCAGAAGAACACCATTTGGAGAAAAAAATTTCTAAAGAAAACCAATAGATTGAAGAGTAACCGTAAGAGATCAAGGCAACCATTGCAACTGCACCTCCCAACAAATGCGCCAATACACTGACCACCAAAGCAGTCATCATTCGAGTAACATGTCCCGAGTGGTTTGCACTGAAATCGAAAGAAGAGCAGACTAAGAGAAAAACTCTATATCCTAAATGAAGTTCACTAATTGGAACATATTAAAGCGTAAGCAAATCTTATTCCTATTCCTTAAACCTTAAACACCAAGACTATAAAGCTATTCATGCATTGCTACTATGAAACTTACTAGCCCAACTCTTCCATATTTCAGTACTCACCCTTGATAATACGTATCTATAGACAAACTAATTCTACACGATTGTCAAACTTGGGTCTGGCGATGTTCTGTGGCGATAGATCATGACGGAATAAACAAGGTGGTTCTTGAAGGAACGCACCACACATTCCACTTGAATAGATATGATCGTTGAGGTCATTAAATCCATATTCGGAGTACAACACCTGCTTGGAGTCTATTTGCGAAATACATATGGATGAGAGGATTGGTTATAGCAAATAGCTAGATCGTATGAAAGGTTATGCGTTTGTTGTAGTGCCCATCGTACCACTGCCCTACACAAGCCCACGGTAGGTCATATTCTTTTTGTGTCGCCATTTCACAATTGGTAAATATTTTCCAAAATGAAATCTTGGGACATCTAGCATCAAGAAAACATCTCTAGCGCCTTATGGACTCCATATACAAGTGCATGACCACATTCGGCAAGGTGAATTTACACGGTGCATGAGGTGGAAACGGTGGATACCAAAAGTCGAAAGATATCAGCGCAAAACTAACCTGTGGGTTGTAGCCCGATCCTTCGTCGTCGCTTCGCCGGTGACGGACTAGACTAGAATGTTCAGAAGCAGAATTGTTCGTAGTAGCACCGAATTCATGTGATGAGTGGGAGTGAGATAGATGTGCACGAACTGAAACTTTTGAAATACAAAGCAGGTAAACTAGGAGTTATCCTATCATAAAAACATACCAGCAGTAACAAATAGGAAAGTGAAAAGAGCGAGCTGCATCGCACAGCGAGACACGCGTAGTGATTAGAAGGCGGACTCGGTGGAATCTCATAGCCTTTTTCAGACCAGGCGCGGGAAATTGCGAAAGGTCAGATCGGATCTACTTAAAGGTCATGTGCGATCTACCCAAAATGTTCTGCAATCCAGTAATATGTAAATCTACTACGGAAAGTTCTATTTACTAGAATGCATACGTACATTGTCCTACACTGTTCATCCTAATGAAGATGATCCAGGTATAGCGGAAAAATAATAAATGAATTAGAAACTACCTACAAATCTCTTTTGATCTCTAACGATCGTCCCAGACATTGGCCTATACAATGACTTTCGGTGTTTTAGCATTGTATGGCGTTAATGCTTTTATCTTAGTATAAAATCTGGTAGCATTTTGTCTATTCATGAACAAAAAAGTGTTTGGTGCGCACTTTCATTTGCGTTCCCCAAGTTATGGAAAACTCAGTTTGAGAAACCAAGCACTATTGCCAACTTCGAAAGGGGACTGGAGAAATTCTACGGCCCTCGTCCACTATCGATTTGAGAAGATTTGAGTTAAAGTGAACGATGTGCATGGTAACTACATCGTACTCTGAAAGACCACTTTAGTTCAACTAGATTAATCCATGCAGGAGTTCTTCATTGATTTCCACTAACCTTTCCCACTGTTGCAACCATCGCATCATGTTTCTCTGAAAAATTTTCGAGTTTTTGTGAAGGAACTTACTTGGTTGAGAGTCTCAGTTCTTATAACAATGTAGTGAACATGAGAAAGGGCGATAAGTTTTGAGCAATTTAGATAAAAACGGTTCTTAGTGGAATGCAGCATTAAACGTCACTAACCACAATCACACAAAACATCAGAGTTATATGTCTTTTAAGAAAAGGGCAACTAGATGCCAAGTAAAGCAAATCTGAGATACTCTTTTCGAATTGGAATGTTTCCATCTATTTTATTCGACAAAGTTCGTGCATGAAATAAAAGTGGCAATAGCCTAAGATCTCAGTGGGATTCCACAGGTAGCCTTTAGAAAACAACGTCACACTTTTAAGCCACAAATTCATTGATATTAATAAATTCACATAAAATCGTATTTTAAAAAATTGTAAAAAAAATCACATGTTTTAACCGCTACAAAAGAGAAAATGACATTGTGAAGTCATCAACGGATCAGAAACACTAGAAAAGAACGTTTTTCAGCAAGTGCAGCGTCCAAAGTGGCATGGTAGACCGAAGCATCGTTGAGCCTGATCATCTTTTGTGCAAGCCTTTCGATTACATAAGGCACGAAGTGCATCGAAGAAGAACGAGAAACCGGCCGCTTTGAACCCCTATAGTCAGCTGATGATAGTGACGTGTAATAAAAAAAAATAATGGAATCCATACACCAATTACTGACCGCATTGCAATCACAAGTCTTCGTAACGTTGTTGCACGCTCCCTTCAACCCACCACAAGCAGAGTCGCCTTCGCATCTGGGAGACGTAAAGCATGGGAATAGTTATAACGATTTCTGCTTCAAATGTAAGCCTTTTTTATCAGTTTCCAGTGTCTCAACTACAGATTTCTATTCAAAATGTGAGCTTTAAAGTTACGAGAGCGAAGAACTTTTCACCCCCAATGATTCTTCATTGCAATTGACATAAACTAGGCTTAGAATCCCTGCCATCCTGGCAGGAATATAGTTACTAGCTGTCAAGTAGTGACGACCAGCAAAGAAAAAATCTTTACCAACAAACAAGTTGTCAGACAAATGGAAATTATACTGGGCCAAAAAACTTTAATCGTATTTGTATCCATTCATTATAACTTTATCTGACTCTTTATTCTGCTTCGTTAAAGGGGCTACGCACTATTCAAGCATTCAAGTAGCAAACTGCCAACTAAGCGGTGGATGAGGCTAAAATGGGTACACCGCTGATTTGTGCTTCTTAGACCATTCTCATTGACGGGTGACTGCCGATAAAAGCAATAGAGTAAGAATACGACTGAGAGGTAAGCAAATCAAGGGCCTCGGTTGGTGTGGTGCACAACACGTGAACCCCGGTAGAGGTAATCATGGGTAGGAAGGTGAACTGAAGTTCCGAGTTTTGCTTGTAACTCAGTATCCTTGAAGTTTCATTTTATTTAATACGCGACCACGAAAAAAAAGTAGGCAGTAAATAAAGGTTAAACGTGTTTCTATCACTTCTTAAGGTTTCGAAAAAAATAGAGGAATCCTAGATTTAGCAGATGCAGTACAGTGTGTAGTCCCGTGAACCTTTTCTATAATAGTTGGCACTGTATTTACTTTTCTCAAAAGCTTATCAAAGGGTTACACGTTGGAAAAAACTGAAGCAGAAACTAAATATAACTGAGATCATATTTATTTATATGATCTTATAAACTGATCTTCTTAAGCTGACGCGAGTTTGGTACAGGTCTTCGTTGTCGTTGTCGTTGTCGTTGTTGTTGATATTGTTGGTCGATGGCTGACGTTTCAGCGACTTCGCCTTCCTCAGAGCCGTGATGTTACGTCAAAACCTGTACCAACCTCACGTCAGCTTAAGAAGATCAGTTTATAAGATCATGTAAATAAATATATCAACTATCTATGCCGAGGTAGAAAGTCGGTCTTTCGAGTCATCTGAGATCAACTCACAACCAAAGGTCGATACAGGCGTTACAATTGCACGTGCCGACGAAAGAGCCCAGGCAATGGCCACCATGACAATCGCTTTCCGAATAGCAAATATCGAAAGGTTTGCACTTAATCTGAAAGAAAAAATTTCACTCCATTCTCACTTTTTTATCCATCGGAGAATTTCCTGGGCAATATTCCCTTTTCAGTTCACTTTTCATCAGCGTTTTAATTTTTTGTTAGAAATAAAGGCTTCCGTCATCATGTGAACTGATTTCACAGACTTCTTAAACGGATTGCTTTGCGTGTGAAGCACGTTTTACACCTTATCTGAGCGCTCTGTAAGAAGGTCAACGTAAGGAGAGGACTGAATAATGTGGGATAATAACGGAAACAGATCAAACGTACTATTATTTTATCAGGTACTTTGATGGCTCATCTTCACGAATCGCTCAAGTTTGGCTATTTTTCAGTTTTTTCATTATACAATACCTGTTCTTCATTATGGCGCCTCCAATGGACACCATTTCTTCTATAACCTGGAATATAGCTCTAGAACAGCGAGTTACCAGAAGATATAAAGACGTTCCCCGTTATGTAGGAGTTCTCGAGCATGATGCTGTATGTGAAACATAAAATGCATTCAGTAGATGAGAAGAAAAACTACGATCTCTCTTCGTTCTACACAGCACTAGGTCTTTTCGTTAAGCAGACCTTTGCACTTCATTCACAGTTCCGCACTAGCCACTATTTTTGGCAGAGCCCTTCCTTCGCAGTCAAACCACTTAATTATCCAAAGCAGCGCGTCCATAACTTCTGTGCAGACGCTATCAAACACTTTTTCTTCTCCAAGTGAACGAAAATGATGACAAGAATAAGTGCTGCTATCGACAGACTTTCATAACCATGGCTATGACTTTTGTGTGGTCAACAGTGCACAGCGCAACTATTGAAAGCCTGCTTCTTAGTTAATGAGCTTCATTCGAAGTACCTGGAATGGAGTAGTCCTCGTAAAAGGCTTATGAAATAGAATACATAACCAGCACATCAAATCAAAGTTACGAAGATCTTCCTTTAGAAGAATTACGTTCATTGGGTCCCAAACTGGTTCGATTTCTCGTTCGCTTTTGCAAACTTTTTGATTACATATTTCCCTCCGATAGAAATGCTTTCAGTGGTTTCTAATACTGCAGCATCGCCACACCGTCATTATAAGTCACACGATGAACCATAATAACTGCTATATTAAACCGACTGTTTTCCACAACCAATCATATCACAAATCAACAGGTAAAAGCCATACACGTTTCGATTTACGCAAATGGTGTTCTTACCATAGGAAAAGGATATAGCAGATGTGGATCGCAGACGGTTTATTCTGCAGGAAGCAAAGAACTGGGCGTCGTAGCTAATATGCAAACTAGCTAACAGTTTTCGTAGGCGCCTCCAATGGACATGGAC